CCAAACGGCCACCTCTCCGGAGACAAAACTTGCATTAAGACTTGAAGACAATTCACACATAACTCTCCAGTCGACAGAACAAATGTCCGAAACAAAGAAGACTGAAGAAACACGAGTACAAGACAAAAAAAAACACAAGTAGAAGACTGAAAAGAAATAAAGTACGAAAAACGGCGCAGATGGTGACAGACTATTTTGTCAGACTCGCACAGACTCACCAGGAGGCCCTCAACAATCTGCAGATTTCCCATATTGATGCTTCATGGACTCTTTTCAACCCATATTGAAAGTGGGGCCCGCACCACAAACATGGCACCAAGGCAACAACACAGCAAAGCACAAGGCAGTGACGCATAAGCTGCCAAACTACACGGCACACAAGCAAAACGCACGGGAAGACAAGGCCTGTGGATGGGCAGCAAGGCAGCAAGGCAACAATGCAGCAAGGAATAATACTGACAAGGCAACCAAACACGCCAAACAGACAGGCTGCAGGTGAGCAGGCGAAGACATGGCATGCGAGTGCGGAGCAAGGCAGCGGAGGAGCGCAAACAAGACAGCCCACACATCCAACACAGGCCAAAGCAATCCATCACCTRCTCACACCACAAGTTGAACCCCACAGACTGTTGGTTCCCACCACCCACTGAGCCAGGAGTCACTTTGACAAGCATCCGTCATCACTCATGGGAACACAGACATCCTGAACAGAGCAACCCCCCAATCGTGCCACAGGCACTCCAAACAACAAACCACTGCCTATTTCAAATAATTAGAGGTGCTCGCTTAGACAACCAAAAAGTACTCAGAATAACTGGAAGGAAGGAAGGCATACATACATAAAACTGATTGTGTGTGTGTGCATGAACCACCCACTGTCCCTCCATGAGGTTGGCAGGATGGTCTAGAATCCAGCAGCACTAAGACAGAGTTAGTACGGAGAATTATTTGTCTTAGCAACAGTATGCGATGCATAGAACTACTATTTGAAAAGACGACAGAATGTCTAGGGGTATCAGCTCTAGGAAGAGCTTCGCAGGAGTACATCTCCTACTGTTACATGCTGCGCGTGCACACGCAGGCCATTTTGCAGGCCTGCGTCCATTCAGGCTAAATGCCTGAACTTCAGGCCGAAAGCCTGAATTTCAGGCCGAAAGCCTGAAATCCAGGGCTTACAGGCCCCCTGTCGGTTCAGGCAGAAAGCCTGAATTCCTGGGCCTGTCCCTGTGTCGTTTCAGACTAAAAATGGCTACAGCATTTTTAGCCTGAAACGAAGGGCCATTTTCGGTCGTTCATCAGAACGACCGGCCCTGAAACTCAGGCACCGAACCAGGGTTTCGGGAACAGACTATTAATAGTCTGTTTCCCACGCCAGCCTCAAGCAGGCTGCTGCACGCCAGCCCCTGGCACACTTTGGCATTGGCAAGAGCTGCCTCCTCGGCCTGACTGCCCTCCAGTAGTCAGGAGGCAGGCCGAGGTAGTACATAGGACTTCCCAGGCACTTCCGAGGGAGGGGGGTCGGCAGTCGTAGTCTTCAGGATTCGGGAGCAGCACTCTG